ACGCATCTAGCTAACGTCTTTATTGATGGAGATAATATAAAATCTGGAAACATTTAAGCGAGGAAATTTAAATTTAGTTATCCCCATTTCAAGGTAATAAATGTTTAGATAGGCTATCCCATCAGAAGACATAGGGGCGATACAGTTTATCAAATATAACATTCCTTAGTTAGTTTGCTGACTTGTGTTTGTTGCAGTCATGCATATTGTCATGATTAGATACTTGCTATCTTCAATATGAAGGTTGAAATAACAATTATTATTTGTTTCTAAAATCGAATTTTCTGAGTCTCCGTAAAAAGTAGTGTGGTAGTTTCTATGTTTAACAAGCATTTAATCGTGTTTTATTTTCCTAGTGTTCCCTACTAGACCGAAGAAAGTATACATTTACTTTATTTGCGTATACTTGTATTTCGATGTATCAGTCTTCTTCACTCCCTTATGGCTTATGGCTTTTTTTCCTGAGGTATGTTACCATATAACAGAAATTGGTCATATTAGATTAGTTTGTTTGATATGATACAGTGTTATTTACCATGTACTTTATCAAATAAACTAATCTAATATGTAATTATATTCTGTCATCGTGGCAAAGTTCTACTCAAATTAAGTAAACCAATCAGCTGACAGCAGGACAGCTGTAAGTTTACAATTTGAGCAATGTGTTCTGATTTTGAATTTGTTCAAAATAGTGATTGAATTCACTGCTACTTAGAAGAAGTTATAATAAACTTTTTTCTACAAATACCAGTATTTCCGCGACAAGTATACTATTCCTTGAATGAAGTATCATTCATCTAAGTCTATCAATTTTAGTTTGAAATTTCTATGAACAGGTGGAATGTGTTAAAGTTACAATCGTTTAGATAATTTTTAAAAACATTCAGTGAATCAGTATCAAAATGGGGTCTGGCAAAACTATCATCATAGGACGAAAATAAGAGTGAATATTGCAAATAATGAAGTATGATATTACGGGTGAGATGGAGAAAGGACGTGGATATATCTGAACCATTGTAATTGACACCGGGGGAATGCCACCAATACCATTCAACACTTTGTTTCGGCTGTCATGGACCCCAATTCACGAGCTGACACCTTCCTTTTTGACTCAGACCAGCAATTAGAGAATTTACTGATCATTCAACGTGTTCTATAAAATTAAACAGAATCATTTATCCCAACCATTTATTATGTATCAGTTCCCTATTAAATGAACGATCAGTGCAATATGCTGTGTCATACTTGATTGCCATTTCATTTTCATCCTACGGCACTTTATCCAAGGTAGCTTTGTTATAACCCGATCATTTTAGTTTCATTACTATGAATTTATGTTCAAGTATACTATTCCAGATTATTATCTCTTACCACGCAGCTATATATATATATATATATATATATATATATATATATATATATATATATATATATATATATATATATATATATATGATTTTCTAACAAATGCTCAGTAATCCAATTAATAATGTGACCTATGTCTTTCTCCCTACAACTTATATTTGCATTCCCTGATAGCGTAAGTAAAACGTTTCGGTGCATTATGCTTACTGGATGTACACATGTGTCCGTTACTTTTATGTCTGTCATTGTTCTCATCAGCACGATTTCACTGAATACGTTTCAAGTAGTTGGCTGCTTCATTAAAAGTATTAAAGGTATTTCAGTGTATCTATATCTTTTTAATCGAAATCATAATTCTATCAATTCATCATTTATTAGACATGTTCACTTTTAAAGTTAGATAACATTAAATTGCCCTTGAAAAGAAGTTGACGATGTTATTGATACTTTATTTCAACAATACATCTCCAACAAAGTTGAATCTGAGGATGTATATATGAGCATAATATGAAAGAAAAGACTTGATTTTCACATCATTTACTACTGACTGAATGTTTTCATGCCTCCTGATTATCTCACATTTTCTCATATAACTAACATTAGCTGGAAATCTATTACAGTATTTTTGTTGCACTTTTATGGAGCAGGATGTTTATGTTTGATGAACACTAAACCGGTGAAAATGTCAACGAAGCACATTTGAGCAGTGATTTCATGTTACATACCATCGTTTTGTTAAAACTTCATTTTTTAGAAATTAGTACTGAAAAATGCTTCTTAACTCAAGATATCCAAATAATGATAATGAGAATCGTTATAAGCATTCCGTTGTGAACATTTCGTTTATTTCTGTTGAAGCGGAATTCGATGCATTGAACAATCATCAGTTGACATTATCCCCACCAATCAACATCACCTTGAAAATTAATTCAAAACTAATAGACTTTGAGTTAGATACAGGCAGTCCAGTCACAATCTGCAGTGGACAATACTGGTTCAAGGTATTTGGACACAGTGCTTATAAAGACTTAGAAGAGGCACATGTTAGGTTAAAAACATATACAGGCGAATCATTATGCATATTGGGATTTAAAAATGTCGTGTTCGAGTATAAAAATCATGCTACTGTATTAACAATCTACATTGCTAGGGGTAGTGGACCAAATCTACTCGGTCGTGACTGGTTATTCAAAGTAATAAATTTCCAAAATAATTCTAAGCATGATTCTCTAATTATTGACCAGTTTTTAGCGAAATACAGTCATGTATTTGATAAGGATAGTAATGTGGAAAAAACAAAATCTATTAAAGTCTTACTACCTATTGCAGACAGTGTATCACCAAAATACTATAAACCACATACATTGAAGAATACTTTAAAATACAAAGTAGAAATGGAACTAAAAAGGCTTCAGTCTGAAGGTATTATCGAATCCGTACAGTTTTCCACCTGGGCCACACCGATTATACCTATACTTAAGTCAGATAATAACGTTCACATATATGGTGATTATAAAATCACACTAAATAACTATTTTGCAGCAGAAAAGAAATATATGATACCAACAATTGAAGAGGTCTATCAGCGACTGTGTGGTAGGAATACTAGCAGTAAATACTTTTCAAAATTGAATGCTACCTGCATATTCCAACAGTTACAGTTGGATGATAAGTCAAAAGTCTATACAACAATAACAACACATAAAGGATTATATCAATATAAATATCTTCCATATGGGATAAATTGTAATTTTCACATATTCTATGAAGTATTTGACACTATATTAGCAGGGATACCAAACGCAGTAGCATATCTAGGTGATATTTTAATCGGTAGTGAAACAGTTGACGAACATTTGACTATTATAAGGCTAATTTTAACAAGATTGCAAGAATATGGTTTGCACCTGAAGAAGGATAAATGCAGCTTTTTAATTGAACACTTAGAATATATTGGTTACCGGTTGGATTGTAATGGCTTGCACTTGTTAAGTGAACGTATTCTACCAATATTAGATTTACCGCAACCGTCTAATATTCATGAACTGAAATCATTTTTAGCCCTGTTCAGTTATTTTGCTCAATATAATAAAGACAATTTCGAAAATATTGAGCATTTAACACAACCTTTAAATGAATTACTGGTTAAAAATGTTGAATGGAGGTGGGATAAAACAGAAGTAGATTGTTTTCAAAAAATTAAAGAAATCCTAATCGGACCAAAAGTTTTAACTGAATTCGATCCTGAAAAGACAACTGTTCTTTTGTGCAATGCTTCAGCCCATGGAATTGGTGCAATACTCACTCAATGTACCAATCATTTAAAAATGATATAATGTTGAAACCTGTAGCCTACGCTTCAAGACGTTTAACAATGAATGAATATAATTATCCTCAAACTGAAAAAGAAGTCTTGTCTATTATTTATGCCGTAACTTACTTTAATCAATATCTTTTCGGTCAGCATTTCGAGATACATACAACACATTCACCGCTATTAGAACTACTGGCCGAGTCAAAAAGCATACCACAAATAATATCCGCTAGAATTCAACGCTGGGCATTACTACTTTCTACATACAACTACACGCTGCGTTACATTGAAATGAAGAACAATTTAACTGCACATGCTTTAAGTCGATTACCAACTCAAGATAATAGTCAAAAAGGGCAAGAACCATCAGAAATTTTATCTTTTATCAGTTGGATAAATTCCTTTGAAATAATTGTTGGAAAAATTCGTAAACACGTTGATTTAGACAATATACTATCACAAATCAAAATTTACGTCATGACAGGTTGGCCAAAATATGTTGATGAGAAATACAAGCCTTATCAACAACGAAAGCACGAAATCACCTTAAAAAATGGTTGTTTATTATATGGTACACGAATTATTATTCCAACTAACTGCCGTGAAGCCATTTTAGGTAAACTGCATACATCACATACTACAAATAAAGATATGAAAGAATCAGCAATGAACTATGTTTGGTGGCCTGAAATAAATGACGATATTGATAGAACTGTTCAGCAATGTGATGTTTGTCAGCTGAATAAATCGTCTACTGCTGTTGTTAATAAATCACTGCTCCAACCGATAAAGGCCTCAAATAAAACTTTACAACGAGATTTATGGACAAAGCTGCATATAGGCTATTTTGGACCTGTTCATGGTTATATGTTGTTTATGGTCATAGATACCTGTACCAAGTGGATTGAAATAAAAACTGTTAGAAAAGCGACAAATGAGAATACCATTAAGTCACTGTGTTCTATATTCGCAAGTCATGGTATACCTCAATACTTATTGTCCGACAACAGTCAAGTATTTACTTGTAAAGAATTTCAAAAGTATTTACATCAAAATAATATAACTCATGTCATCACTGACATACACGATCCATCTACTAATGAACTAACTAATATTGCAGTAGAAATTGTAAAACGTGGATTTCAAAAACAAAACGTGAGAGATTTTCATAAACAGTTAGAAAATTTTGTATTTTTACATCGCATTACACCACAAAACGGAGAGAAATTGTCTCCAGCTGAATTATTGATGGGAAGAAGACTTCGCTTGCCTACAGATTTTTTAAATACAGATTCAGATGATATTGGTACAAAGACAATAAAGTAGTCGCTACTTTTCTTAACGTTAGAGGTTTATTTTCAGTATCACTTAAACATAACTTTATTTAGTTAGAGAATGTGTGTGACTTTCCTGATTTGCAGTTTATTTTGAAGTGAGTTTATGTATCAACTTCTATTATATAGATTCCAACAAGCAGGTTTTCATACTACCTTTGGAATATACTTCGTGACTCGTTTCACATGGCGGCATGTAATAGACTCTTGATTTTGTCATTCCCTACACTTATTATTAAGGCGTACCATATGTTCAAGTTCTGGTAACTGAAGTTCCTTTCGATTTTCGGAAAAGCATCCTTCAGTGCTGTGGTCAGAACTATTCGAGCCTCATTTTATATACTCTTAATGAGAAAAATGGACGTTAGGGCTGTTACACAGTTGTCACGACATTCTAAAACCTAAGACGAAATAAAATAGTACACTATCTTTAAGGATTAAGTAACGAAAGAGATAATACACCATCTTTATATTTTTAAAATACTTTCTTTCGTTTTGACACTTATCGTTCACCCCTTTCATTCCCGCAAATGTTTTCATATTCATATTTTGTTTATCCACTAACTTCGTCCTTTAGGGTTACAAAGCATAACCGTTCTTTTCTGATCTTTGGCCGTTAGGATAGCGTTTTACATCGTCATGACATTCTCAACTTTCTTATCACTTATGCTGACTGCCACCATTTTTATTTTCATCATCCCAAGTTTCTTAATCGGAATCCTTGTTATTGCTGATTGATAAATCATCATGATTTCAAAATATACATACATAAAAAGCTGTGAATCATTGGATTCTGACCCATTGACTGAATGGTTAACGCGTTCACCATGAAACCTGAAGGTGCTGAGTTTGAAACCTTGTTTGGCAACATATATATATATATATATATATATATATATATATATATATATATATATATACATAGCTTGAGATCTAATTGAAAACTATATTGCTCATAAAACGTTTGAAAGTTTAATGTGATAAAATATTTCCAAATGTATTGTGTAGACACAACACATTTCTCAGATAAGCCGTCTTCCTGTTGTAGTATACAAAGCCAATAACTATTACAACAATAAAGTCCGCTTATGAGTCACAGTATAACCGGAAAAAATGGATATTAAGATTAACAAGAAAGACAATAATGAATAACAAAGAATTTTTTACAAACACAAAACTTAGTCATAAATGGGAAAGTTGTTTCTCTTGAAATAGGTTAGAACCTACTGTGCAAACAATAGTTAATCTTCTCAACTGGGATACTCCAGCTTTTCCAATATTCTTAATTTCAGCTGTTTGTCTAATGACAGCCTTTTCAATGGAATACAAGGTCGTATTAAATTCTTCATTCAGTTGTCCTGGTGAAACACTTGCAATCATTGGAATTATTTGTGGGATCTTAAAATTGTTTTCGGAAAAAAACAGGGAGACAAATATGTATTTTTTGTTCATGTTACTGCGGAATTTTAGAAGAATAATTACTTTTCTTTTAAGAACGCAGACTTTGTTGGTAGTTAAAACTCACAGCCTTTTTGGCAGATTTCAAACTTAGCAAATCATAGATATTTGATTAAAATCCTTCTGTTCCTCAGATTTATTTTCAGCTTTAAACATCGATGTCATGTATACCAGCATTAAACTTCCAAACGAAGTTTTCTCAGTAGCTTAATTATTACTCACTCTTGTTCTGCTAGACTAATATCGGGATCACTTGAAAGCTAACATGGAGAAGTGAAAAAACTACTTTGCGACTTGAGTAATTTCAAGACCTGGTTAATAGCCATGTCTTATAGCTAAGTCAATACGGTGTCCCGTCAGCAATCAGGAGACGATGGGTTCACTAGGTATGATTTTTTCAGTTTCAAATATATATATAAGATGTCTGGAGGCGGTTAGCAGGGAATCATGAACCTCTAGTGGTTTCATCACTCATAACCAAATTAAAAATGATCAATACAATTTAGTCAGCACTTAGGACTAGACACCATGAGGTCGGTTACTCATCCCATGACAGATCAATATATATATATATATATATATATATATATATATATATATATATATATATATATATATACAGTGGCGTTGAGACATTTCACAGTTTAAAGACGGGTGACTTTAAAGGCCACCCTAGCAGCTGATGAGACAGCCAATTACACTCCTCTACTTTATGGAAAAGTACCTTCTCAGGCGGAATACTGAAGCCTAATTGGTGGATTCAGCAATTGCTAGGGTGGCCTTTAAAGTGACTTTTAAAATCTTATCAATCGAAACAACAAATTGAATATGCCAGTTTTGTCTGCAAAAGTAATTTAGTAGGGACAGACAGAGTTTTACATATCTTGTCATATCTATCTCTAGAACGTTGAGCTTAAGGCAATCAAACGACCTCAATACCCAATGTTGAACAGTCTTGAGAAAAAGGGCATGATTCAGACATCAAATATTCATTTAAAATAAGTAATGCGCCATTGTCCAATATCAGGCTTTCCTGTGCAAAAGACTCAGTAGTTGGATTGTTAAGCTAACTTTTACACTCAACTAGAGTCAATGGCTAACTTCATCTGTCCTAGTTACAGTGTGAGCAGACCCACCACTTTTCCTTTTTCTAATGTTTGTGACTCAATTTTCATTTTCTTTCCCCAATACTTTCACATTTCTCAAAGTTTTTCTTCCATATTAAGCAATCAATTACCTTCAATATTGCAGAAGTAATGGTCCAGTTATTTCCAAATACTGCTTCAATTTTGCCACCTACAATGTTCTTTTCCCGACACTTTTACCTCTCTTGCGTTACCACCTTAAGGTTTGACTTTCAATTAACTTAATATTTAAATTTAGAGATTTTGGGGGATTTATTTATTGATTTTGGGTTGATATTCATAATAAGATCACAACAGTTGGAGAAACAGAAAATTTGAGAGCATTAGACAGCTATTTCGCCCTAGTATCGTGGACTGAAAGAAGTATAAATTATGAACTATTGGATTCCAACCCAGTGGCTCAATACCAACGTCCTGGTTGCGGAAACTGAAGATCCTGGGTTCGATCTCCGGTGAGGTCATGCGTAGACGCTGTTAAGGAGTCACATGCTAGGACGAGATAGCTGACTAATACTCCCAGGTTTCTAAAGTTTCTCCAACTAATGTCAATTCATGATGAATACCAACTTGATATTTTAACATTTCTTTAAAATACTTTAGCTTGTTGGGTTTTATTCATGTTTCAGAATTTAAACACTTGCAATAAATGCATTGGATGTATAAATGTCACCCTTTCACATGTCATAGAAACTTACATAAAACAACAAAAGACACTGAGTGGTAAACTAATCGGTTAGTAGTATTTGTTGTTGAATTCCCTTACTTTGCTTATTTGTTAGTTTCACAACAGTTAATCCAGTTTTCAGTTCACATTGTGGAAAAGGGTAAAAATATAAGTGCATCATTAAACATTTATTTTAAAAACTGATGTTCATGAATTCGATTTTAACATACTATATATATTGGCTATTCAGTTGTCTTTGTGGCTGTTTCGATATACATGTTAATAATTCGATTGTTATCACAAATTTAAAATGATATTATTGTTAAACCAGTGGCAGTAGCATCACTAATCATAATAACAGTATAAATAATATTATCAGAGTCATCAGTCTCAACAGAACACTTGCCATGGTTAATAGAACGATAAGTAAACATATCATTTGGTCTTTCATCCAGCGTGATGTTAAAAAGCTCATCAGTGGATTAAGACATCCTTGGTTGTAGAACACATCATCATTGATTGGGTTGATATTATTGCATGGTACGCTATCTGTAGTGAAACTGTATTTATTTCTTTTACAACAGCTGAAAGGTAGGCTTCGATTACTTACATTTGGAATCAAGTAATGGGCTTCCTGAAAACTGTTTGATATCCTGTAAAATATCATAAATAACAATAAACTGTGATCTGAATCATGATAAATAATGCCTTTCCTGTGGTGCGTTTGCTAAACAACAATAGTTTTTTTAAAGAATACCAACTACAAACACGATGGACAATATGTACCTGAGAAAAACCCAGTATGAAAATTGTAGTATAGGGTATTCCGGCAGGTAAACTGAAATTTCAAAATCCTTGAGTGTAAATAAAATAACTAGTTTCAGATTTATCATTTACTGGCTGCTGAAAGGTATGCAGACGTCTTAAGTAAAACGTTATATTCACTGATCTGGCTAGGCATTGTGAGAGGATGTCATAGGTCGTCTCCCTTGAATTGTAATTGTGGAAAAAAAGGCTTCCTCTTCACTATCATCAATTCTCGTTTAGGACCAAAGTAATTGGTGTTATCTCTGATGAACTCATCCGTACATTTTTTTTTCATTTGAAATATCATGGATACACACTAGTTCTTTCTTTCACACTCCTTGGAACAAATCAGTCTTACTCTAAATTCCAGGCATCTAATTTGTATTACGTTTGCACTTCATCTTCATGAAGCTGATAAAATGTGTTTGCTTTGCCTTAGCCGTCCGTTTTCTGTGTATACTTCTTAGGATACAGCCATCTTCTGTGGCTTTCATTAGCACATCAAGAAATGTATCGAATCATTGATTTCATTTTCATAAGAAAAACGAACTGGTAAAGTGGACACTTATCTAAGACTAAACCCGTATTATGCATATATTGACAGAACAACATCAAATTTATAATTTAATTTTTCAAAGTACCATTTTACGACTTGGTCATTTAATTCTTTTGACATTCAGGTGACTAGTCCTTAATTTAACGATTTTCAATTCATAGAGCTATCTATCAAATCTATCCAGTCTATGCGCATGACTTGTAACACCTGTTTAAAGAATCAGTATATTCCTTAGATGCACAGGCTACATTCACACTTCTGTACTTGGATGCATTTCATGATTAAATATATTTATCCTTCATAGAAATTTTTATTCCATACTCTTAACTACACCTAACCTAATTTTATCTTCGCTGATAATCACAACTACATTGTCGAAATTTCTTCACTGACATCGAACTTCAGTATAATACATTCGGTCAATATCTTTTTTAATTTGTTTATTAGAATTGTCACACAGCGAAACATAATCCAGTAAATGATACTGTTCCCCTGTGTGACAGTTCTGACAAACGGACAAAATGTAATTACAATCTACCAAGTCCTATTTCTATATTAGTGAAACATACAATCTTCCCGTTTGAGGACTAATCAACAAATTCACACGACTTTCACAGACAGAAGATAGATACACATATCATCGTATATTCAGTCAATACCTGTTTTAGCCATTGTCATTACATGATTCGGCGGATAACTAAGGGACATTTCTAACTTGCATAATATTAAAGGGAACAAATATTTATTATTTGTTGGAATGTAGTGTTGCTACATGAATTATGATGTATTTTAAACTGTCTTGCTTTGAAACCCATCAATAAACAATTTACTAAGCAAGTTTTCAGACAAACAAAATACTTCTCCCTACTTAGTGACTTTTCAACTTCTGTAGAATACTATTGTTTGTAACAAGAGTAACAAGCGATTGTATAGTTTGAACTGATAGCTGTTTTTTCAGTGCTGTTATGGTAACCTTTTACTGATTAATAATTAATTAAAAGTTGTAATCAGTCAACAGTATTGAGACATGGATTTTGTCCTACTACATTTTTTCTGTTATTGTTATTATCTAAATATTCCGTGGAAATATAAGTGATTTATGTCAAACTTCAGAGAATATAATTGACTTAACTGCAGTCTACTCACCATATCTTGGATTGAGTAACTTTAAAGGCCACCCTAGCAACAGCTGAACTAACTGATGAGATTTCTCTATTTTATGAATAGCTGCATTTCTAGACGGAATACCGAAACCTGACTGATTATTTCAATTGTTGCAGAGTGGTCCTTAAAGTCGAGTGACTCTAAAGGCCACCCTGCAACAGCTGAAATAACCAGTCAGGTTTCTCCATTTTGAAAATAACTACCTTCTAAGGCGAAATATTTAATCCGACTGGCTATTTCAGCAGTTGCTAGAGTAGCCCATAAAATAGCTCCTAAGGTCACTCCAAGTCCAGCATAGGTTAAACAGATTACATATGAAGCATATTTGTAAAATTCCAATGTGACAAAAACTTTCGACTTTTCGTGACTTCATAGAATTAATCTCTACAAGTTATCGCATGTTTAAATAGTAAGTGACGACAAAACATATCACTTTCTTCATACATGATAATAATATGGGGGTATAAGTGGCATCGTTATCAGTTAATAGGCCGTGAGCTCAAGGTGAAGATGTGAAGGTGTGAGAAAAATGCTATGGCTGACAAAATTCAGTTTATTTGTGTGTATGTGCTTTAGTTATCACTAGTGTGTCTGACGTGTTATTTCTGCTCAATTTTAGAGTGACTTTAAAGGCCACCCTAGCAACTGCTAAGATAACCTTTCTTACCAGAATACCGAAATTTGACTGGTGATAATTAAAGCACATTATTATTTGTCCCTTGGGTTCCTAGTGGAACATAGAGCTTCAGTAGCACGTTTCCATTCCACTCTCTTCTCTGCAGTCATTTCAACCTGGCTTCACAACTGCCCGGAAGCTCTCATTTCTTCCTCATACAATCTCCTCCATGTCACTCTCGAACGCCCAACTCGCCATTTCCCATATGCGTTCCACTCGAGTGCCTGGCCTGGTGCGTGATGTCCCCAGTCGGCTTTCTCAGTGCATGCCCAATTCATCTCCACTTTCTTCTGCTTCCTTGTTGCTTATTCTTTCTGGCCATTTGATCTTCAGTAACGAGGCAGCGTAGGCAGTTGTTCATGAATATCTGTAGTTTGTTGGAAATATTTTTCTTGACGCGCCAAGTCTCTCAACCATCACATAGAAGCACTGACTTGACATTGGTGTTGGAAATCCGGATCTTGTTCACGCTTTATACTGAGTGCAGATCTCCACACTGATTTCAGGTTAATGAAAGCATGTCTTGCTTTTCCGATCCTGGCTGGTTTTGACGTCCTCGCCTGTGCCGCCTGTAGTTGAAACGGTGCTGCCTAGATAGGTGAAAGAGGCTACTTCATTTAAGTTTCTTCCGTTGATGCTGATTGGAGCTTGGAGTCCTGCCTTCTTTTGCTAGCCTACATCTCTGTCAACTAGTAGGATCTCGACGGACACATGGAAGCTGGTAGAGCACGTAGAGGAAGATGGTGATGGTGAAGCAGAAGATGAACCAGTGAAGTGTAGTGCAGTGCAAGAATGAACAACGAAAACAGGAACTGAACACAATGCATAAAACACTACACTGGACAAAGAAGTGAAGAAGAGTGAGCGCAAAGACAAAAAACACTTCTACGACATACTTGCAACTGAAGCAGAACGGGCTGCAGGTCGGAGAGTCTTGACAACACTATATCAATAACCAGGTTACTATCTGGGATGGTAGAGATCAACACAGATGAACCAATGAAAGGTAATGAAGGAGGTGAAGTTACCAAAGAACAGAAACAAAGGAAACAATGGGCTGACCACTCCGAAAAGCTCTTGAATCTACAACCACCACCATCTGCAACTCGTCCAGAAATATCACCAGAAACCGCAGAATTACCAGTAAACACAATCCCTCCGACAAATGTCGAAGTCCTGAATGCCATAAAGCTACTGAAATGCGGGAATCCCGCCAGAAGCACTGAGAGAAGACTCAGAGACAACAGCGGACATGCTCATACCACTATTGCAGAAGGTCTGGAAGGAAGGAAAGGTAGCTGCCCACTGATTGGAAGAACGACTGCCTTGTCAACTCCCAAACAAAGGAGACCTAGTCTTTGCAAGAACTGGAGTGGAATCATGCTTCTGTCCACCCCAAGCAAAATATTAAGCCGCATCATCCTGGAGAGACTAAAGGATGTGATGGATTCAAAATTACGAACGGAGCAGGCTGTCTGGATTCAGGAAGAAGAAATCATGTGCGGATCAAATTGCGAAGCTACGCTACACATCATCATAGGACAGAGTATAGAATGACAGTCAACTCTCTATCTTACCTCAACTTCATCGACTTTGAAAAGGCCTACGACAGCGTCGACCGAGAAGTAATTTGGCAGGCTGCTATTTCAACACTACGGTTTTAGTACACCAAACCTTTATCAACCTCATTCAACAACTATATGTAGACGCCACATGCCAAGTAATTCACAATGCTAAGCTCAGTGACACCTATGAAGTGAAAACAGGAGGAAGACAAACTTTCTGCCTACTATCACCTATCATCTTCCTGGTTGTGGTCAACTGGACTAAACTGGATCGTGCAACAAACTGTGAGGAGCGAGAAGACGGGCATATGCCGGCCTGACCGATGAAAACACCTTAGAAGAAGATTTGGACTTCGCCAATGATGATTAATGTCTTATGTCTTGTGGCAGAAACCGGGAGTTCTACAGGCAACAAGTCGACAGAGGATACAAGGCAGCGAAGACAGAACTTCAGGTGAACGTAAAGAGTACTGGGGTGATGAAGATTCTCAACCAAGGACATCAATAACAAGCATCAATCACCGTTAACGGGAAAAACCTATATGAAGTAATCTGTTTCATCTACCTGCCTCTGCAGTAGTTTTTCAACTACTGGCGGCGGTGGCATAGATGAGGATATCAAACCCAGCATCAGAAAAGCAAGACAGGCTTTCACTAATCTAAAATCAATGTGGAGATCTACTGCACTACGCTGTACTCAGTATAAAGCGTGAACAAGATCCGGATTTTCAACACCAATGTCAAGTCAGTACTTCTATATGTTTCAGAAACTTGGCGCGTCACGAAAAACATTTCCAACAAACTACAGACATTCACCAACAACTGCTACCTACGCGCACTCGACACTTACACTGAAGATCGGATGACCTAAGGAATAATAATGAG